TTAATTACTTAATTTAACTAGCTTTTCTTTCTTTTTTAGTCTTGTAAGTCATGATTCTTCTAGGAGGATTTGCTATTTTTTTCTGTCTTCGAAGGTAGTAGTAAGAGGTTATTTGCTGCAGGAAAATCACTTTATTTGGACTGAATTTGAGGGAACGGGGCTCTTTTCAAGTAGGTACAGAATGGAAGGCTGAGGCAATTGATCCTCTTTAACTGTAAAGCCATACCCCATCCTGGATTTGGGAGAGTTTGGTGAGTTGAAAGGAGGGGGGGAAGGTGTAATTATATTATAGTCTCAAAAAGAAAGAAAAGAGATAACAGTTAAAATACAAAACCAAACCAAAACAAAAATACCCTTACCAAAACCCCCCACTAACTAACTCAGCAACTGTAACACCCACCACATGGTAAGCACCACTAAACACTAACAAGAGATGGCTAAACAGAGAAATGACACTTGCTGTTTAGTTCCTAGGAACATTTAGCAAAAGAACAGATTCCCAAAAGAGGATATTCTGAGTTTAAAGTACTTTCAAAAAAAAAAACAAAAACAAAACAAAACAAAACAAAAACACCTATAGGGCGACTATGTCCCGCTAGGTACTTGCCTCTTTCTTTCAACCTAGTATTTCTAACCTTCTGAATTATTTCTTTTTGGGAAGACTTTTCTTTCCATTTTTTTTCCTTTTATGAGACAGCATGTTACTATGTAGCCCAAGATAACCTTGAACTCACTTCATGGCTCAGGGTGGTCTCAAATTTGTAGTGATCCTTCTGTCTCAGTCTAGCAAGTGCTGGGATCTCCGGAATTTTTTTTAAAGAAAAAAATGTATATATGCCCCAATGGATGACGATGTTAAATCTGGGTTCACTTAAAATCTCACTGATTATTTGACTTGGCTCCAAAACAAGAGTTTCCCTTGTATCTTTAAGAACCCTTAATAAAGACCTTTAGATTGAATAAGACAGAGGGATAGCTACAAGTAGCTAGAAGAAGGACTAGCCAATAGAAGGTAAGAGAGCTGCTGAGTGAGCCTCCCAGACAGTAAGAAGTTTGGAGACTGAGCAGTTCTTACTTTTTTTCTTATATCCTTGGTGAGAGACAAGTCACAGAACTGGCAGCCTTGGAGCCAGCCTTGGAAAAGATTTTGCCCTCTCCTACCACTATCCCTTCCTCCATATTATAAAATAATCTGCCATAATGTCTGTGAAACAATAAGCTAGATTATCAATGGGAGTGTGTTGAAACAGATTACTTATAAGTGTTCAAAACCCCTCAGGTAGCTCTCCTGGGACTGCCATGCATACGAACAAGGGAGGCTACTTTAAAGGACCATTAAAATTTAAACAGGCCAATACTGATGAATACCTTAAAAAAAGGTAACCACTCAAGCAAAATCCCTCTTTTAAAATACTTGTATGTAATATGCATACATTCATATAACATTTGTGCTTGGATCAAATCTACTACCCTGAAATTCCTCCCTTGTTCTTAACGAAAGTCAGTGGTGATTGAAGCCAAGCATGAAGAATTATGGCTAGGACTATGAGGCAGGTGAGCTTCTGGCTTAATGATCAAGTGTCTCTCTTCTCGTGTCCTGAGCCACTCCAGCAGCCTTTTGTCATCAAGCCTGTGCTGCTAACAGCAGCAGGGAAGTCACTTTCAGAACCCTAGGTGGGTAAGTGCTCCATATGAGAGTGCTCCAGGTGACAGACAAAACCAGCAAATGGTAAGAGCTCAGGGTGAGAGTCTACTAGTGTTTTAACTTGCATTTTGACTACTTAAAGGATTTTAATCAAGCAGCTTAAGAATGGCTGTGTGGGCTCAGTAAACACACTAAATTAGGTTTGATTTTTTTTCCACTTAACCAGTGGCAAACCCAAGCAACTGCATTACTGGAGGGGATTTAGCTTGAGGGGCTTTATAATCGTT